ATTTTGCAAGTGCCCTGGGCACTTATTATGTTGAATATGGTACATGTGTCTGCAAAAACACAACACATTCCACACATTAGACAGTAGTAGCCATTAATTTTTATCCACAAAACCAAGCAATCAAACAACTGCATGCCATATAAATTAAAATAAATGCTAAATTTCACAAAAAAAACAAAACAATAATCATTGTTTTGTAGAAGTCTGCAAACCATTAAATGAAAAAAAGGTGTTGCCTTGGATATTAATTTATTTTTGTACCTTCTAATAAAAATCTACAATATGTCAAAATCACAAAAGTGTGAAATATGACATTATTATTAAATTGGAACACATATAATACGTATGGTTCTGCTCAGCAACTCATTCATCTCATCATTACCCATCTGCACTAATTACTCCTCCTGCATCCGCATCCACAACATTTAACAAGTCCAACTTCACAGTTGCTGCCCGTCAATGGAACATGTTTCCTCAGGAACAATAGGTTTTTGTGATCGGGTAATTCCATAGCTGCATTTGCTTGTTTATTAAAATTCAAATGAACCAGGCAATTGCTATAAATGGCTGCTATTATCGATATAAGCCCTTCTTCTTTAATTGTACAGGAGCGAGTGAATGAGCTAAATTTCGCTCAGGTGCCTTTGTTACGGCAACAAATGGACGGCAGCAGATGCCTTGACAAAGCATTTAGATGAATATTATTCGCTTTATATTTGTGGCCATGACAGTTGGATCTCTGACCGGTTACAGTGCAGCGTGTTTAAGACAGGGTCGTGTCACGTTTTATCGATTGCCCCATGCTGTGAAATCGTTCATGCATGAATGTTTCCAAGTGCCTATTGTTACGGCCCTTCATTATGAAAATTGAACAATTTGTCAACTTACACTTTCGGAAATTATTCTGTCGGTTCGTTTGGGTCAGTCATGGTTCATGTTCTGATTTATTAATAGGATTATGATGCCTGCAGTTTTTGTCTATTCTTGACGATCATGTCATGAGGTGGCTGCTATTTTTGAGATGAAAATTGCTAGTCAATTGATCTGGTTATTGTGAAACGACGGTATGGTGTTGAAGGAAATGAAAAACTTCGGTGCCCGAGGGGTAGTTGTATTTTTTCAGGGTCCAAACGGTTTTGAAGCAATAATTTATTTCCGTGAACCTCAACATAAAGCTGGTACAGTGACGTAGAGGAATAGAATGTAGTGTAACACAGCTTGCATTAACTCACACTCATAGGGATGGCACCAGCTGTTCTGCTGTTGCGATAGTACCCCTTGTTGGTCAAGGTCATAATACCCAAGAAACCATCTTGAAATCTATAATATTGCTGCCATGAAATTTCATGGAAGAGGTACAGACCATAAATGACTTCTTTTTTATTGTAGATTTTTACAAAGTTGCAGATAAGCGTTGATATAAATATATAATTACAAAAATTTTTGTGATCTCTTGAAATACCTATTGTCAGTAAGATGATTAAGTATAAATCAGATGAAAGTAAAAATGTGTAACAAGTCAAAAGGTTAATTTTTTATCCATGTGTCTTCTTTCAAGGGTGTAGTCCTCACCACTGCTTACTGAATAGTTTACAAACTCAGCTGGAAGAAAAATAAATCATATCAACATAATTTCCATATCAGATCCGTAGACAAGGTGATTAAGAAACAAAAAGGCTTCTGTCATAATTACTCAGTTCAAAGTTGATTACCCATTATTTTATGTGATTGCCTGAGTGGTTGCATGCAGTAAAAGTCTTGGCTGGGAACCAGTATCTCTGTGACATCAGAGCTCTTCACAAGCATGATGTCACCGGTATGATGTCATTGTTTTATTGTATTATTCATTGTTCCATGATTGATGTTTGCGTGATGCATTCTAACATTTTTATCCACCCACTAAACATGAATCATCAATGGAACGGCACCAGGGATTGCCACACTAGGTGAACCGGTGTTCCACGTTAGCACCTGAGAACGTCATTGTGTTCCAGTGTTATAAACTTCATTGGAATGACTGGCAGCGTTAGAAATTGGCACTAGTCCTTTTGTCCTTGCCAAACTGCTCAGTGGTTACGAAGAAGAAGAAGAAGAAGAAGAAGAAGAAGAAGAAAAATAGTTATTGTGTCACAAATTATATATCAATGATGTACAACAATTGAGGACAAAATTAAAAACTAAAATATACAACATCCGGTCAACAGGCCTATGAGACTAGTTGACTATCATGAGGACTAGTTGAAATTTGTAAGGGTTTGGCTGTGTGTTATCGTAGTAAGAATGAGTGGACGAAATTTTTTAGTTTCTACCCCTCTCTAGTAGTTTGTGAATCATAAGATCTTCACAAGTGTTTGTTTGCAGAATGTTTTTAATAAAATTTATTTTTCGAGTGATCATCTTAACTGCATTTTTTAGACTGTATTCGTATTTTTAAGCAATAAATACCCCTACCAACTTCTAGACCAATCTATAAGTAATCTTATAAGCCACCCAATACTAAGTTTGTCAGGTACATGCTGAACTGGTGCCTTTTGCTATTTAGAAATTTTAGAAATTTTTATTTTTTCCATGGCAACAAGATGGACTTAGGTTCCAAACTCTTCTTTTTTTTACAATTTCCATGACAAGTTCCACCTCGGTTAAAAAAGGTTAGGGTTTGTTTAGAATTAATTATTTAATAAATTCTGCAACAGGGGCTGGGGATATAGAAATTCTCTTGTTTATTGTTAATTTGTGTCAATTCAAGTGCTTTTATGCAATCAGTTTGTATGAGCGCCTCCATGGTGTTGTGAATAGAGTGTCAACCTCGAGAGCGGAAGATCTATGGTTAAATCCCGGGCAAAGATGGTACTTGTTGTTTCCCTGCATTAACGGATAAAACAAGGACTGGTCGGCTCAGAGTCAGTATACTGTGTCTGAATGGGGTATCCATGTTTAGCTGTCTCATGGCATCTCAGTGGGCTCGCAATATAAAACCTGCATTTGTCCTGACTGGTTCAAGCAGCCACAGACCGCCTCCGTGGTCTAGTGGAAGAGCGTCCGCCCGGAGAGCAGAAGGTCTGGGGTTCGATCCCCGGCCGCGTCATACCAAAAGACGTTAAAAGATGGTGCTTGTTGTTACCCTGTCTGGCGCCCGGCATTAAGGGGCTAAAACAAGGACTGGTCGGCTCGGAGTCAGTATACTGTGTCTGAGTGGGGTATTCATGTTAAACTGCAACATGGTACCTCAGTGAGCTAGCACTATAAATCGGCATCAGTCCGGACTAGTACAAGCAGCCACACAAACACACACACGTGCATGCACGTCGCTATATAAGTGCAATAATCTTGGATGCGACGTTAAACCCAATTTCACCTCACCTCAAGCAGACACACACACACACACACACACACACACACACACACACACACACACACACACACACACACATCCATGCATGATGTTAAACCACATTAAACCTCACCCAGAAGTTTATAATAGGCAGTGAAGAGCTCTGATGTCAAACAGATGTGTGTATCCTATCATCAGGTGAAAATTTGCAATATATGATAATTGATGTTCAAAGATAATGATATAACAGGAAAAGCCAATATGTTTAATGGGAGAGAACCTAATTTAATACAGTGAAAGTATGGTAATAGGGCAGGCGTGATAACAAAATGAGTGAGAGAGTGAGAATGGTTTTACGCCGCTTTAAGCAATATCCAGCAATATCACGGCGGGGCACACAAGAAATAGGCTTCAAACATTGAACCCGGTGTAAGGTGCCAAAATCTACCTCCCTTCAGAGTATACCCGGGTAGATTCTGGGAGCTTCCAGAATCTTACCCGGGGTAGATTTTGGGGACTTCCCAGAATCTACCCCCCTTTCCCAGAATCTACCCCCAGGGGGTATAATCTAAATTTCACGAAGCAATTGTCATTGTCTTAGTCAGAGTTTTTATATTATTATCAATAACAAATAGAGATGCATGTTTTAAAACTAATTAGATGTGTACTGAATAGGCATTTATGTAAACTTAATCAGATGACAATGTTTTTACAGCAGTTGACCAGGAGAGATCAAGACTGAGTTTGATGCATCCCCCAAAAGAAAACTTCATGTACATTCATGAAATAAAAATGTTTAAATCAAACAGGGCTGCAGTAGATTCTTGGAGCTCCTAGATTATGGTTATAACCCAGGGTAGATTCTGGGAGCTCCCAGATTATACCCCTGGGTAGATACTCCCAGAGTATATCCCCTGGGGTTGATTCTGGGAAAGGGGGGTAGACTTTACACCGGGTCTTCAGCATGACCAGCGAACGCTTTGACCACTAGGCTACCCCGCCCTCTCATGTTTATTGTAGTTAATGATGGGATTAAAGCACAGTACCCTCTCGGTTGATAGCTGCCTCGGTCTCTTCTTTTTCCAGTGTTTGATGTTGATATGGAGAATTTTGGTTTGTTGCCAGAAAATATCGATGTCAGGATTGTTGATGAGGTGTTCTGAAAGGACAGATTTAATGTCGGAATTGGCAACAGAGGTCCTGTGGGTTGTAATCTTGTGACCATGAGCCATGAAGTTTCCACAGACTCTTGGGGTCTGATCCCCACATCCCCAGGGGCTTGATGGAGACTGGGTGGAACCTTCACCATTGGCATGTAGGATGTTTCCAAGTGTCTTATTGGAGGGGGGGGCACGGGTGGCCTAGTCGTCTAAGGCGCCGCGATTCGCTGTGCAGAGTTGCGTCCCCTGGACATGCCAGAAACCTATGATTGTGGGTTCGAATCCCGGTTCACCCCGATTATGTTTCTAGGTTTGTCAGCACCACACCCATGCTCGTGGGTTTCACCGAAGTGATAAACGTCTGAGACCTGCATCACTTCGGGCTTTCCTCCCACATTAAGCTGACACGCCACAATATAACTGGAATAATGTTTAAAGCAGCGTTAAACCCCAACTCACTCACTCACTTATTGGAGGGAATGTCTCATCTATGTTGGCTTGTTTTTCAGCAAGACATCCGCCAGACCAGAAAAATGAAGAAGAAGAAACGCCGCGTGAGAAGGAACCCTGTTCGCCTGAACGCTCTCAGAAGAAAGTTCATTGACACGAGCAGGAAGTACTTTGGTGTCCCTTATGCCAGGAAATATTGGCCCAAGGAAGGTGAGTTGCTATACAAACATGAACCATGAGTGGACTGTAATCATGGTCTGCGTGCTTTTAGTACATCCCCATTTGTAATTCCTGGTTCGCAGGTTTCATAATATCCGTCTGTTCTCTAAAATGGAAATCAGATCTCTCAAACTGTTGAGGATTTGAAAAGTATTCTATCAGTTGCCAATCTCATTAAAAAATGCCCATCTTAATGCTCGCTACCACTTCACAAAGATCCGAGGATGTCCTATTACAGGTCACGTCAGAACACCTTTCACAAACTTTGACTGACCAATGAAATGACTAACAAGAAGTCAACATTAGCCAATCAGAAAGCAGCTTTTTCGAGCTGTACGGCACTAGCTTCTAACTGGGGATTTCCATTTACGATTAAGCTTTGAAAATGATCAATTTTAAATTTGAAAACTGAACAAAAGAAAATTCTGGAATGTCTTATAGATGGCCGATATTGTATGGCAGTCCTAGAAAATAAGGTCTCTTCCATTTGAAATGTTTATCCCAATTTAAGCGAGATATACGGCGATTTTGAAGGAATCAGTAGAACAGACTGTAACTGTTGTTTGGAAAAAAACCCTGTGTTAACGTTTTCGATGTTGCGTGATAAGGCTGCCACTTTCCCGATCTGGTAAGCACTCTGACTGGTCAGATGGAAGGTCGTTCTGAGGACATCACTCACTCAGTCAGTCGTGTGTTCATATGAATAAAGATTTGACTTTGATCTATTCAACACTTTGTTTTGTTCTTGAAACATTACTCAGTGTAAATTAAGCCTAAACTGTGTCAAAAGTACTTATTTTATAGGTTTTGAGGAGCCTTTATCCGATGTTACAATTTGAATACAGGCATGTCTAGGACCAAAGTTCATTTTTTTACGAGATATATATATGACTGTGCAGACATGAAAAATTAATCTTGGCACACAGACAAAATCAGTGAATTGCATAAGGATATTTTAATGAATTTATCAACTTTTTATAGGTCGTATCAGAAGTTCAGAAAGTAAGCCTTTTCCCCTCATTTTTGCGATTGTTCTGTTCCCAGGGGACGGTTCCCCTCTTTCCCTCCCCTGTTGGTCCCACACTATAAATATTCCTTGTGTCTGTCCTCCAGCCCCAGAGTATCAGTCACCCATGTTCCTGGACTGCTGTGGCCTGGTCCGGCAGGTGCTCCGGGACATGCGGAAAGACTTGGGCTTCAAGATCGGACCATGGAACCAGGCCTACATGTACGACACTCTGCCCATCAACCTGAAGGAGGAACAGATGAAACCAGGGGACCTTGTCTTCATGTCCGGAATCTACACCAACCCAAAATGTAAGACCAGTCTCCACGATCATATCACACACCCCATTTGGATTCTTGGGTAGAACAGATCTTCAGTAACCTATACTTGCTGCAAGAGATGGATCCGATGGTCAGGATCAGTTGATTGTGTGTCATTGTATCCTGATGATGTTGATCCTTGCTCATGTGGTCAATAACTGTTTCGTCTGGCCCAGACTTTATCATTTATGGGATGCTATGTGATAGTTGCACTGATGCTGACTGCACTGTTCAAGATCTTTCCACTCCAGCGTTAGAGACTAACAGTTTTCGTCCACTAGTCCTTATAATGATAACATATAGCAAAACCCTTAAAAATGGCACTTTTCTACTAGTCCTTATGATACCTTTACCATTGGACATTATGGCAAGGACTATAGGACTAGTTCCAATTTCTAACCCTGCACTCAGTTGAGGTCACTGCATTTCTCTATGCAGAGTTGTGTCCCTTAGCAGCAATCTTGATTATGAACCTTGGTCTGACAACACCATACCTGTCCTTTTGAATTTCACCACCATGGTACACGTCAGTGGCCTGTGCCATATTGGGCTTTATGCCACATGAAGCTGACAGGCTAAAAATAACTGAAACAATTTTCAATTAAAGCATTTGGTCCATATATATGGTGCTGTACTCCATGCATAAGCATGCTCTAAGCGCTTAGACATTTATTACCCCAGTCAATGGATCAGTGTGCTCTCAATAGTCATTCTCAGCTCCCTGGGGAGAATACAACCCAAGCTGCCTGTTAGGTGCTCGAAGGTTAACAACCACATTGCCATCTCATCCTACCGGGTACCCATGCAATAAAGGAATTGCCTAAAGTTTTGTCTTAGGAAACATTGCAGGTGTCTGACGTAGATTGCGATAGTCAAGTCATAACAGTCTTCTTATATGTCCAATGCTATTGCGGCAGTGATATTTACAGATGTATGCTTTCTTAGCCAAGAAGCAGCGCCACAACATGACCCATGTGGAGATCTGGCTCGGGGAGGGTGAGAAGACCATCGGCGCCCGCTGGAATAATGGCAAGGTGAAGGTGTTCGACAGCTACAGGTTCTCAGCCAAAAGTTTCCACAGTGAGAAGTACCACTTCAAGTCTATAGACACCTGGCTCATGGGCATCTGCAAGAGGTTAGTAAAGAACAGATGCATACAAATGTTTTGCAGGCAATATTTTTTCAAACTGATGAGGGAACAGTGAGTGAGTTGGGTTTAACACCACTTTTAACAGTACTCCAGTTAAATCACGGCGTGTCAGCTTAATGCGGGAGGAAAGCCCGAAGTGATGCAGGTCTTAGAGACGTTTACCACTTCGGTAAAACCCACGAGCACGGGTATGGTGCTGACAAACCTAGAAACATAATTGGGGCGAACCGGCATTCGAACCCACAATCATAGGTTTCTGGCATGTCAAAGGGACGCAACTACCTCTTTTACCATTATATACATTGCAACTCAGTAGCAGGGCATTTTTATAGACTTTTATGAAAATAAACATTATTTGCTAACACAGAAGTTGTGTTCGTGAGTTAAAAACACTGATAGAAACACTGAATATACCATGCAGGAAATGAAACAATAACAAGACCAGGGTTTTGTGACACACCGATGCTATGAAATATCTTCTTTTGATTTGCAAAATGTTAATGTAATTTAATGGGAACAGAAATGGAGAACATAAAAAAGAAGTACCACCATCACTGATTGACTGCAAGGACAAGAATGTACTTATAAATGGGTAGATACGGCTCATTTCAGACACCAGGTGTCTTGTATGTATAAATGGGTAGATAAGGCTCATTTCGGACACCAGGTTTCATGTAGGTGTAATGGGTAGATACGGCTCATTTCAGACACCAGGTGTCATGTAGGTGTAAATGGGTAGATACCGCTCATTTCAGACACCAGGTGTCGTGTACGTATAAATGGGTAGATACGGCTTATTTTGGACACCAGGTATCATGTTTGTATAAATGGATAGATACGTCTCATTTCAGACACTAGGTGTCATGTAGGTGTAATGGGTAGATACAGCTCATTTCAGACACCAGGTGTCATGTACTGTACGTATAAATGGGTGGATACTGCTCATTTTGGACACCAGGTGTTGTGTATGTATAAATGGGTAGATACGGCTTATTTAGGAACCAGGTGTCATGTTTGTATAAATGGGTACATTCGGATTATTTCGGACACCAGGTGTCATGTATGTATAAATGGGTAGATACGGCTTATTCCGGACACCGGGTGTCATGTATGTATAAATGGATATATACGGCTCATGTCAGACACCAGGTGTCATGTATGTATAAATGGATAGATACAGCTCATTTCGGACACCAGGTGTTGTGTACGTATAAATGGGTAGATACGGCTCATTTCAGACACCAGGTGTCATGTATGTATAAATGGATAGATACGGCTCATTTCGGACACCAGGAGTCATGTATGTATAAATGGGTACATTCGACTTATTTCGGACACCAGGTGTCATGTATGTATAAATTGGTACATTCGGCTTTTTTGGACACCAGGTGTTGTGTATGAATAAATGGGTAGATACGGCTCATTTTGGACACCAGGTGTCGTGCACATATAAAAAATGGGTAGATACGACTCATTTCAGACTAGTGCCTTATGTAAAATGACTAGATATCAGGATAAAACAGCAAATCCCCCAGATTTTCATTCATGGTTATGTCTATCCCTGCACATCATCTGTTTTTCTTGCCATTGGGAAGATCTCGTTTAACATCCTCATGATGTATTTTGTTCGTTTGATGTATTGCGAGAAACTTGTGCAGAGCTGTTTAGAATCCCTGGGGTCATAGTCTCCAACCATATACTAGTATATGAAGTCCTATGAAGGACATTTCTGCATAGTTCAGCTGTCATTGCACAGTTCGAACTGTCATTGTTGGCAGTGTTCTAACAACATGTTTATTGTCAATCTATCATCATTATATTGGGGTGCAGTTGAGGTTCACTGACTAAAGACAACTTGTCAGCAAAGACAGTGTTATATATCAGTGAAAAGTGCATTAATTCCCATTATATGACATGCCATGCATTGTTATAATGCAGATATGGATTTGAGAAGCACAGAAACATTGTGTAACTATGACATCGCTGCATTCTTGCCCCATTATGTAATGTAATGTCATAGAATTTTATCACAATGGAATGTCGTGCCACATATAAAATTGAGGAAAATACTTAAATTCATGAATTTTCGATCAATTTGCCAAAAATATTGCTGAGTGTGGCGTTAAACAACAAACAAACCATCAAACAATTTACCAAAAGCACTTTATTTTTTAAATTTAACTCTCTTTTTTTCACATATGAACCTTTAATCTGATTTTGAAAAATTATGAGTAAAATACCATCAATGGTACTGGATACAAACTTATTTACGATAATACGTTTTAGTAAATGTGTATTTCCAAGTATGCACACACATTAAAAAAAGGGACTGCTATATAATAGTACAACACCCAGTAATCATATATTCAGATATGAATAGATATCAAGTATATTACTAATAGGGTACGATAAGTGATGATAATACATTATTTTTATGAATCCTGGAAGACTGGCATAATAGTTATATAATTTAATGCAAAAACGTTGACACCATGACATGTCAGTAATAATGGCAGCTGGTTGGCTCGGAGTCTGTATAATGTGGGGGGCACGGGTGGCCCAGTCGTCTAAGTCGCGATTCGCTGTGCAGAGTTGCATCCCATGGACACGCCAGAAACCTATGATTGTGGGTTTGAATCCCGGTTCACCCCGGTTATGTTTCTAGGTTTGTCAGCACCATACCCGTGCTCGTGGGTTTCACAGAAGTGATAAACGACTGAGACCTGCATCACTTCGGGCTTTCCTCCCACATTAAGCTGACACGTCGCGATATAACTTGAATACTGTTAAAAGCGGTGTTAAACCCAACTCACTCACTCACTTACTGTATAATGTGACTTAGTGGGTTAAACTGCTGCAAACAGAGCTACAGATAAGCAGCGTATTTGCGTTAAATACCCCCCCAAAATATTCGAAACCCAATTACTTTCAATTAACTTGCATACAGAAACGCATGCATTAAATGAAAAACTCATTTGTATAAAAGCAGCTCGCGTAAATACACAATGTCGCTTTTTCAGCATTCATACAAAGAAGCTTATTTCTGAAGCACAATTACGAGCTAATTTACTTTCCGAGGCTATATATTTAGAACAGTTATATACATCTAAAACATTCTTTCATGTTTTTTTAATCTTAAAATGGTCACTATTTTTGGGAAAAACCCAATAGAATGATGAATAATTGAGTGAAAAAATATTGGTTACCCAATGAAAAATGTAATAGCCCGATTAAAATAGAAACCCTAGAGTAAAAACTCAATTGCTCAAAAAGTTATCTGGAGCTCTGGGCATATTATCTTAGTGGGCTGGCACTATGAACCCTGGATTTGTACGGACTTGTACAAGAAGGTATGCATGGGCATCACCATATGAGTGAAATAATTTTGAGCACATCATTCACCTCATGTTGTGTTTTCTTGTTTGTTGTTTTACGCCACACTCAGCAATATTCCCGCCATATGACGTCAATCTGTAAATAATCGAGTCTGGACCAGACAATCCAGTGATTCACATCATGAACATCGATCCACACAATCAACCAAGTCAGCAAGCCTGACCACCCGTTCCCGTTAGTCGCCTCTTACGACAAGCATAGTTGCCTTTTACGGCAAGCATTGTCGCCTTTTACGGCAAGCATAGTCGCCTTTTACGGCACGCATGGGTTGCTGAAGACCTATTCTACCCCGGATTATTGCCCATTAGGGGTCACGTCAGAACGACCTTTCATCCGATCAATCAGTACGTCGCTTACCAGATTATGAAAGTGACAGTCGGAATGTGATTTCTAGTCATGCAATCTCGAAAACTTTATCATGGTGTATTCCGAACGATAGTTACTGGTTTAACGACTGAATCCTTAAAATCTAGACCATCTATTAGCCATTCAAGAATGTTTTTTAGTTCAGGTTTCAAATTTGTAATCGAGAATTTGTCAGAATATGTTTCGAATCGTAGTCGCCAATTTGAAATTTGTGCCGTAAAGCACGAGAAAGCTGCCTTCTGATTGGTCATTCAATTGGTCGGTCAAAGTTCGCGCAAGGTCGGCCTGACGTGACCCGTAATGGGATGTCCTCAGATCTTTGTTTAGCGGAAGCGAGAACAAAGATCTGATTTTAATGAGATTGCATAGATTGAAGATCATAATGTCAATCACTGCATCGTCTGATGAAGACTTGATTATTGCTGAATGCGGCATTAACCGACAAACTAACATCAATATTCTACTCACTTTTGTGTCTTGTTCCAGTTATTGCTCTCAACATCCATGGAGACGCACGAAATACAAACCAAATAAGAAGTCGGTCTTCAATCCAGTTTCAAGCACTTCCAGCCCAGATCAAGATGATGAAGCTGCAAGTGGAGATGAGGATGATGACAGACCAAGTACATGTGTCCTTGACCTTGCTGAAGGTTGTTCACCCTCAGAGTGTTCTGCCAATGGACAGAACCTGGAGGGAGAAATCAATGAGCTGGATTCAGAACACGTCATTCTGGCATCTGCAGCAGAAGCATCTGACAGGGGATTTGAAAGTGATTCCGAACTTCCAGATGATGTATCCGATTTTGATACAGAGTCGGCCATAGCAGATTATCTTTCCTGTAGCAGTGATGGGGAATCAACAGAAAAAACACAAGATGACCCCTGGGCTTTTTATGACCAACTGGGTCGTTTGCATAGTCCCAGCCCTTCCCTTGCAGAGTATTCCATGGCTGATTCTTGTGCTGAACCAAATACAGACATCACCTGTATCCATAGCTCAAGGAGTTCTGGCTTCCTACTTGAGCCTCAGAAGCCAAATCCTTCTCCTAGAAGCAGCTCTCTCCCTGAATTTGATGTCAATGATGAAGAAACTTTCACCAGTGGAATTACTCCAGTTTGTGACATCAAAACTGCCTGGGACACCAATCATTTAGATATTTTACAGTCAGGTCAAGGTCAAGGTCCAGGAAAGGTCAACGGTCATGGAGGTCATATACAAAACAATGGACAAGAATCGCTGTTGCTGCTCCCTGATGACACCCAATTAGAATCTGACATAGTGGACCCTCGTTTACCAAATTGGGATCTTGCAAGTGTATCTGACAGTGCTTCAGCATTAGATTATTATTTGGACCCTTGTTATTGTGTTGCTGAATGTGGCTCCAAGACTTGTGACTACACTGCTGAACAGCTGGATTCTGAAATAACATCAAGTTTATATGTCCCCAAAGTCAATATTCTTGAAAATGCTGATAAAAGTAATGGATTTAAAACCCTTGAAGGTCTTTCTTATTCAAGTTTTGAGTTCGGCTTCCATCTTCCTGAAGGCAGATCTGAGATGTCAGGACCTCCAGGCATCAAAGATGCTTCAGACATCCATGGACACCATCCAGAGGACCTTGTTGCTTCCTCTTCAGAAGCCCCTCCTGAATGCAACAATCTAGATGTATCTGACGTCTGGCAGACTCCACCCAGTGATGCAGACGGACATCAGTCGTCTGACAACTCGGGACAGAATGGTGCCTCGGCCAATCAGTCAGGTATGTTTTTGTCAACAGATATTTTTAATAACATGCAGTAAGTAATAATATTGATGTGTACCAAAAATGTTTGCTTTGATACTGTTATACCAAACAAACAAACACTTATCAGAAGTGAAAATGTAAATATTTTCATCCTATCTGCCATTGGCAAGGCAGCATCCAGTGACGACACAATTTAGTTTGTCAGCTTGCAGTATAGAGGATGATGGCAAAAAAGATGTTTGAGCTTAAAAGCGCGCAGCCAACTGTAAATCGTCAGTGTGGCAGGTATTTGACCTTCCCATCTGTGCAAAGATTGGCGTGTTCACCACATGCAAGTATCATGATGCGTATCGGATCTCACATTTGGTGTCTCGTTTAGTGCCCTAGTTATAATTGTCAGCAGTTCTCACTCAACCCTTAATTTGCTTGTATCACCAGTCATGTATAGTAATTGTCACAAGCTGTTTTACCTGAGACAACCAAGGACAACTGCTGATGTTAATATGCAGGATTTGAAACTTATTTCATGTCCATGTGTGTTCTAATAATATGTACAAAATGACAAAAAAAGGCCAAGTGAAGTCAACGCAGCATCTTGGCAGATACTTACATACTTTAGGGCCTACTTAATTACAAATGTTTACCAAAATGAAATTGAAAAAATTGGAAATAGAGTAAGGAGATGATAAAAAGCAACACCCGAAATCGTCCCCCAAACGAAAAATTCCTCCATTGGGGGGAATCCCCTGGAGATTAAAATGGTTCCTGCTGCTTGATGCGCTGTGCAGTTTCAACATTCATGATGATTCTGTAATACATTGTCTTTTTTATGTCAGCTCATCTATTTGAATACTGTAGCCACAACTTATGTCACCTAAGTAACAACACTGAAGATGCCTTCAGTTGTCATCTTCCCGAGGCAAGAGAGTTAACTGACTTAAAAAGTCAAGTTTCCACCCTTGCCGAACTTGGCTGGAATTCCTGGGCTCGATCGTAGCGCCACCAGTGGCTATTATGAGTTATGTCCCTTCTAAGCCTCTCCTATGGACCAATCAGATTCCACCTCTCGTATCACTCGCATTTGCTTCAAACAAAACAGCGGCGCCCAGTCAAGACGATCTGATCGATAATCAAGGTCTATATTGTGATAAAACGGGTCTTACGTTGCGAAATGCATCAAACCACGTGAGCACCTTGATTAAAAACATGAAAAGATTCAGAAAATATCTGTTGACAATGAGTTGGTGGTGCACATGCTCTGCAAATCCTGCAATCGACAGAAAACTGCACGACAGTTTACGAACCGGATTTTGATTTAGGTGTGCGATCTTGATTGGACTATGCATAGACTCGTTAGTCCAGCCAAAATGTAACTCCATAATACCAGCCTAGTTCGGCAAGGGTGGAAACTCGACTTTTATAGTCAGTTTACTCTCTTGCTTCGGGAAGATGTCAGTTGTTTACGCAGAGGATTTGTCCATGACAGGCACTTATTGTGGGGAATAGAGCCGAGGGCAGCTGGCGTGTTATCACCCAAACAGGATGTTAGTAATTAAATGCTATTTACCAATTGTTAATTGCTATTTTAATTATTCACGATATCAAGATCAAAGGTCATTTCAATTTTCAACAATGTGTGCAATGTTGTTATTTTTTTAGGATTAACAGAAAAAGCAGAAACAGAAGATTGATAAACACGATAAACAAATAGTCAATGAAAAAAGTTGTCACCGATGCGCCGGTACCTTTAGGCCATGCCCCCAATAGGTTTTGGAAGCTTGAATTTCACCACTTTCACTTTGAAATTTAAATACTTTCTACAAAATTGATATTCACAAAAAGACTGCAACAATATTTTTCACTTTACTTTCCCTTTAAAATAGTCTAGGAACAACATCCTGCGAGTCAATATTGATATGCATTATGAATAGTAAAGTCAAAATTACACTGAACATGCTTTAATGCAAAATTTGTATTTAAAGATGCTTCGTTAAAAGATCAAAGGAGCCCATATTGAGTTACATCAGGATGGGCTGATGTCATGATGCTGTTCATATCACCTCACCCTTGATCTAACATGGCCTATCTGTCAATCATGATGGTGCATCTACATAAATATTATCAAGTGGTGAAATAGTTTAATGAGTCAGATAAAACACATCATGATGATGATGATGATGATGATGATGATGATGATTTACATCAGGATGGGCTGATGTCACGATGCTGTTCATATCACCTCCCCTTGATCTAACATGGCCTATCTGTCAATCATGATGGTGCATCCACATAATTATTATCAAGTGGTGAAATAGTTTAATGAGTCAGATAAAACAGATGATGATGATGATGATGATGATGATGAAAATTGGGAGAAATAAAAACAGCCACAGATGTATCAAAAAAGGATCAAATATGACAGTTCGTTCGTAAAAGTTTTTAAGTCTTCCTTGTTAAACAATATCTAACAATTTGCTTCCTTCTTTTTGCGTTCACTTTCGAATCTGAAATTGAAGTGTTGATATTATCAGCAGCCCGTGCAGGGATGTAAAGAATTATGAAAGCCATTATTTGAAGTCTCAACAGCTGTTTTTGTTACCTATTTTAGGAACACATTATCTTCCTTCCTCCTCATTCCAACATGGTGCTAGATTATTGGCATTCTGAAAAGAATGAAGGAGTTTTATGGGTCAGAAGGTGTTGATTCCGATCGATTATTATTTAAACTGCCCCTTAAAGATCCGGGGTAAAATAGGTCTTCAACAACCCATGCTTGCTGTAAAAGGCGAGTATGCTTGTCATAAGAGGCAACTAACGGGATCGGGTGGTCAGGCTTGCTGACTTGGTTGAAGCATGTCATCGATCCCAATTGCGTGGATCGATGCTCATGATATCAATCACTTGATTGTCTGGTCCAGGCTTGATTATTTACAGACCGCCATCATATATTAGCTGGAATATTGCTGAGTGTGGCGTAAAACAACAAACCAAACCAAAAGTTCCCTCAAACAAAAGCCAACTCATTTTAGATAAATTCCTTAAGAAATTGTTAAAAACATTTGAAATTCTTTCTAAATTAAGATAGATAAATATTCTAGGTTTAGAGAAACTAGGTTTAGAGAAACTGTTTTTTATAATAGTGCAGGTAGTCACAGGTTGTTTATCAAAGGTCCAATGCTTGTAATGAATATCTGGTTGTCGCCGAAATGAAGCAGAATGACCGCCGGTCGAGACATCACTCGCAAACATAAATCATGGAGTGAAAATGGGAAGATGATTGACAGCTCATCATATTAGCTATTGTTTCCAGTCCTACATTAAGCCATGAATATGTCAATCAATCAAAATGCGAGACTTGCGAGCACACAGGGGTCAAAGGTCAAAGATGCCCAGGCACGAACATCTGTCAGGATCAAGGCTGCGTTGCAGATTGGACGAGGAAGAGAAAATAAGGAAATGTTAATACTGATTGGTTTCACAAGTTTATGGCCACCTGTAATAGTCCTGGTTAATTGCAGTTGGGAGAGATTTAGTCATTGTGTGAATATGATTAGGTTTAATCCGGAGCTTTGGTTTGGAGAAATCTGGAATTCTTGTCAAGTGATGATGTGAGGAAATTTGAATTTAGATTGTAGACTTCTTGAATAGTGGATGGAGATTAACAGATGCATAAATATTTATTGTTCTTTTAAGAGATGAGATTGTTGCTGTGGATGAATGGTTTTTTTAAACCCAGACCGATAAGCTTTCTGGTTTTACAGATAAGCCTTTCCTTCATTTGACAAGACCAGAAAAACCCTGACTAATAAAGAACGATGTATTTTTTGTTGCCTGTAGTGTTTTTCAAATATTGGTTAGGATATGAACCTCAATCGACCCTGTCAACATTATTTATGTTTTGCCTCTTTGCATAATTTGCCCGAGGATATCTTGGTGACATCCCGTGTTCAAAGATGTCATAATGAATTTCGGCTGTAGTGTGTCAGTTTGGTTACATTTCGGGAAGAATTTACGAGAAGAAAAATGGCCATTATTTTATTTAAGTTTGTCGACAATGAACCTAATACTAGCTAAAGAATATGAACTGTTGAGAGCATTTTTGCAATTACAATGGTGCCGAAATTTGATTGATCATTCCGAAAGGCCTATGTGAATAGAATGAATCAATTAAAGTTGTGCTGGAGCAATATAAGCTCGTGTGCCTTGGAAACTGCCGGCGTAACTATAAATGGTGTGTTCACAAGGCTTGTGAAATCACATTAACGCCAGGTTTTCAACGATAATTGAGTTGTTGTAACATACTTAGACAACAGGGCTTGCCCCAAACATCCCATGCAAATGGAATTTTATTGTTATTCTGTTTCCAAGAATTGATTGTGTCTTAGACCTGTTTTTTGGTAAGGCCAGAAAAGGGTTTTCAGTTTTACCTTGTAGGCTATGAATGTTCTGTGCGTATGTTCATGGCTAATTGATTTAATTTGAGAATGCAGGCATTTTTTTTAGCGGCAAGACTGGATATCCCCATGTTGGACTGTAATCTCATTCACTGAACAATTTCACCTCAATCTAGAATTAACATCATTCGAGTTTTATCCCTAGTTTTTATGACTTGGAATGTGTTATTACGGAGATCAAGTTACAGCTTGATTTAAATGAGATCATTTTCTCGCCATGACAAAACAGTGAATGCACTTCAACATAAAATAGTTCGGATGTATTCAGAGTGTGACTACATTGTCATTGGATGTGTGAATATGGGTTATTTGAGAATTCATGAGATGTTTTTTTATGTTGCAGCTGATGATGATTGTTTTGTCTTTTAAGAGACTTTCCTGACTATTACTTTTTAGTAATGGCTCCAAATGATCTGAATGGTCCATTTTAATAAATTTGATATCAATTCCAAAATCTAGATCATCTTTATATTGGTCAATGTCTTAATGAAGTTGACATTTAGCGCTGTTCTCTCACTTGCACATGTTTTAATGAACTGTATAGTTTATGATATCGTGTTA